CCAGCTGACCCACCAGAAGGTACTGCAAGGCACACTGGAATGTGTAAGAGATATTCCTATGCTCAGGAGAGAATACAGCATGCATGCATGCATGCTGCCATTTTCCAGGAAGGCAAGTCTAGTTGCCTTCAATTAAACAACAGATCAGATCATGTCTGTCCTCAATGGACCACAAGTCTTGACCCATACTTTATGTCATCCAGAGATGTTTGCATTAGCGAAGTTTGCAAGCGTATTTGCCAGGATTCCTCATGCAGATGACAGAATTTTGCCTTGCTTCTCCAAGAGAAACTGGATTCTATCTGGGGCTACAACAGGTATCAAAACTTCTGTGGGAAGGAAAGGGTATCAACTCAAGAATGTATTATTATGGGGGCAAAAATAATGGTGATAATTCTTTTCATTGTGCTGTATCCTTTTGGGGAGTGGTAAAGAAGGCTCTCTATTTTTGGAGTTGACCAGGACTGGGTAAGACAATCACTGAAATCACCAGTCAATATCACGATGTGTCAACTGTAAGTTCCTATCTACCACATGCTCAGGTACTGTAATCTTTGCAAACAGACCCACATGCACGAGATCCTTGGAGCGGTCTGCCTTCCTGGCTGACCTGTTGAATCTTCCTTCCATAAAATGTCTGGCACTGTAATTTTTAGGCTGACAGTAATATCAGAGGGAAGCACAGAGGCTTTTTGGACTCATTTAGTGGATCTTCCAAGCATAGCTGGATCACCTCACTTCTTCTAAAGAATATCTGCCCCAAAATTGCCCAGAAAAACCCCTCAAATTATCCCAGGGGGTTGACATCAGGATAAATATCAGGGACAATATTCCTTAACTGAATTAAATGGACTGCTTTGGACAGGATGGTAACTGAGAACCAGACACATCTGAACAGCCAGTGCTGTGGAGAGAGCAAGGAGGGCCATCACTTTTAGGAAGCTCCATTTTCTCCCTCCCAAAATTTCCATGGGAATCTTCTGCCTCTTGTGTGTGATCTGACTTCTCTTCCTCCTCTGGAAGGAGTAAAGTGGGGGGGAATGTCATCAGTTCTAGAGACAAGGACAGTTAGTAGGAAGGGGATTATTAGCTCATGGGGGGACTGGAAGGGACAGTTGCTCTTGGTACATGTTCCAAGGTCAGGCAGATACAGACTCGTCAAGTGACCAGGGGTCCTGGGAACCAAAAGTCTAAGATGTTGAAACTGGAGAAGGAGAGGTGTCTAAGATGTTGAAACTGGAGAAGGCTAATCTCAAGCACACCCTCCCACCTGGACGTTGAGAATAGTCAGGATTTACAGCTGCAGGGAGGAGACATAGGGGAAGAATTCCTGCAGCTAGCTGAGCCTCGTGCAACTCTTGACCCCATGGTGCAGGGTTAGGAGAGATGGACCAACCAATGAGAGAGGCAATAGACAGAGAAGAAGCTTGTCTACCGCCAAAAAGGCATCCCAGATGGAGGGGTCCCATGCCTACTCAAAAGGAGAATGTTAGGAAGTAGTTGTTAGATTGGATCCCAGGAACTGCTCTGCACATGCTCAGAGACTCATTCTTCATTAGTTGTGCTTACTGGAAGTGCACTGGAAAATAAATAGCTTTTGCCAAAGAACAGTCTGTGTCTTGGAAGCATGAGGGCGGGAAACATGGCTCACAACCGTCCACTAAATAAGGTGACACATTTATGTTCCAAGAGCCTTAGGCTGTGAGGGAATGCCCTATGGAGAAGTAGGGAGTGGCTGGAGAAACCACAAAAGCACCCTGCACACACAGACATTCCAACCATTTGTGCTCACAGGCAGGGACTAACATAGATATCCATGGACATGCCACCACCTCCACCTGCTCTCCCCATGTTGCCTGGACTACGATCAGGTGTCAAGTAAAAAAAAAGGAGCTGGTCTCCAGGCTTGGAGAAATCTACCCACTTCCTCCACTTGTCTCCTGACTAGATGGCAAAAGTGGTCACTACTTCTTGGACTGCTAATTTTCCATTCCACCAGTAGAAAAGCACTGGTGCATTTCTTCCCCAACGATCAGAGATAAATGATAAGGGGGACAGCGAGAGGCTCTCCAATGACCAGTCCTTGTAGTCACATGCATCTAGCAAGGACAGGAGAAAAAAAACCCTTCTTCACTTAGATATGCATGTTAGAAAGAAGAGCGATACTTATTTGTGGGAAGGTGGGGGGATGCTGCCTGTGTTCCGAGAACTTGAGAAAAGTAGGGAGCCTTCACCTCTGTCATAGGGCTAGCCAGGGAAATAAAAGCAAGAAGGCTCTCCATTCAAGATGAGAAATTAAATTCTGCTATCCCTGCCTTCCTTTGGAAGGGCTAACTCTTAATGATTTTACTAATGATTATTGGCTGCTAAATGTTAACAACACGCTCTATGTGGAATCAAGTTACAACCAGCCACATCATAGCCACTTTACTAATCACATGAATACAGTTCTACTGGTGAAGCCTGCACACGTGGCAGCTTACAACACAGAACTACACGGGTAGCATGTATCATAGAGTTTGTGATGAGCAATCAAATACTTCTCAAAGGGACAAAAGGAGAAAACGATGTGTGTGTGGAAACTAAACTTGTTACATGCATTTAATCTAAATTAGGCTAAGTTTTGTGTTACCACTACATTGATCAAGTATTGTCAACTAATGTGAAAATATCTAAAGTTTCCATATATACAACAGCTGAGAATGGCAACTTTAAATTTTTTCACATTAGTTGACAATTATATTAATCACAGAATTGTATAAATCACAAACTCTACCATCTTCCAAGTCCTACCCCTCCATATCCTCCCAGAGGTTTTGCATCATACTGCTAGATCACATGGAGGTCCCTCATTCCAACAGCAAATGCAATTGACTCAGTGGGAACTTGTGCACTGTCCCAACTTTTATATACAAACTTTCTTGTTCTTAGGGCTTAGCATCTCAGAGGGTTTGCTGAGTTCCTTCTCCCTAAAAGAAACTAAGTATTTTGATGAGAAACAGATGTGCACAAAATGCCTCTTGGCCTACCTAGGATGGGAGCTGCTGATACACTGTGCTTCACCTGTGGATTGCCTGCCAAAGAGGCAGAGTGTCCCTAAAGATGCTGTGTGTGTGTGGGATCAGCAATCATTCAGCTGAGAGGAAGAAGTTTTGGCTCTACCTGAAATTGCTGGTTTGCACACAATTTTAGGAAAGATCACATACACAGCCTTGCCAAATGCATCACACAGTATGGTGCTGGATACTTCCATGGTTCCCCAAAGATAACATACTGAGCAGCAGAATATTCATGGTTTGCTTTCACAGCAGAAGGCTACTCAGCACTTGTCAGGGTATCACATACTCCTCAACTTTGCCTCAGGAGCACCTGCAATAGAGCATTTAGTGTCACCGCATCCACACTTTGAAGATTTACCAATCTACCCCACAATTCTGATGTTCAGACCTCTTCTTAAACCTTAGCTCTTTAAACAGGTCTTCTCAGTGTGACTCAGCCAGCTATAGTTCGCAGTACACAGTTTTAAGCTGATTTTGTTTTTATTCACATATGTTTTGTTTTTATACCTTATTATTTTACATTCCCTGCTATGATACCTTTATGGAAAGCCGTATATAAAGTTGAATAATAAATCATTCCTTATGTGGTGCCTTTTAGTATGTTTACACTATGACAGTATACACAAACGTATGAGTAGCAAAAAGTTTATCTGAAACTGTTTCTAGGTTTACATCTTCACTGTTCTGACTTGGCAAAGCAGTAGAACTCTAGTCACTGATCCCTTAACCTGTGCCAGTCTGATGACTTCATCCTTCTGTCCTGCTTCCTGTGTCCTTATCTCGATTCAAAGATGCCTGCAGTTAAAACATATAACCAGGATGAGAAGCTGGGCCACAAGGCTTGATTGGGTTGGAAAGGGTAGACATCTCTGGAAGGACACCCTGATCCATAGGAGAGTGAAAGAGTCCCTCACTGCCTTTGCAATCAGAACACGCCATGATGAAATAAGAAAATATTAACTTACACAAGGGAGTTCAACAAATAGGATAGCTGGCCCTATTCAAGTGCAGCCAAATATGGAGCAATCACCCAAACTTAGTATAAATCCATCAGCCTTAAGAGTGTGATCTATGGTCACCCTTCAATTGTACAGAGTACCAACAGAATTACCTGGAAATTTCTCTGCCAAACAGGCCCCACCTCTAGCATAACAGTTCAAATACTTTACAGTACCTAATAGGTCTCTCAGCAGGTATTAGTGATCTTAACATTCTGGCTTCCCCACAAAAAGCCTCCAAAGAAGGTTCATTTTGGGAACTGCAGGTTATCCAGGATCCTTTCAACTAGGGTTAGTAAGATCATCATATCCAAAGAAGCATTCCTCAAGAATAACCCAATGCTTCTATTAATTTGGCCAGCAATCTCCACTTTTAAAACAAAACAACCCGCCCCCGCGCTCCGATAATCCCCTTGAATAGTGTTCCTGTGTCCACCCACCCCTCTCAAAAATGCCAGTCTTTCCTATGTATCGTCACCATTTCCATCAATCCCTCTATGTAGGCCTTCTTTAGCCTTCCTTCGGTATGTTTCCAAGACCCAACAATACCTTCCGGCCACTATCCCATCATAAATCTGCACACCGGAGGAACTAAATTGCTTATTTTAAAAGCCATCCCCCACTTCCCAAATCAACCCCACTACATCAGGTTCCCCTGAAACAACCGGCTAGGAAATGTAGAGCTTGCCTGCGCTGCTTCGCTCCCAGACCGCAGGGCCCTAAGCTCTCAAAGCCTATTCCTCCCTTGGTCCTCCCAGTTACCTAAAGTCATCTTACAGATCTCCTAGGGCTGACCGCAGCACTGGTACAGTCTCTCCTCTCGCCACAGCTTCCCTCTCCGTAATTCCTTCCTCTTCCTCCGCCTCCCACTACTAGCAACAGCCACCGCCAACTCTCCCCCGCCCGCTCCAGCCGTTCCCATCGCCACTCGTTCCCTCCTCACCATGAACTTGAGGGCTTTCTCCTGCACCACCGCCTCGGCGGGGTCCATAGCACTCCCGCTCCGCCTCTGTTGCGGCTGCTGTTCCCCCGCCAGCTCAGGGCCTCAGCCGGGGCCTAGGCCACCCCTTCTCTCTCTCTTTCTCTCACTCTCTCTGTCTGTCTGTGCGAGGCCGCAAGCAGCGCAGAGTCAGACAAGGAAGCCTTCTTTTGCCTGCACTCAGGTAAATGGGAAATGTAGTCCTTAGTCGTTCTCCCGAGAAGTATCCAAGAGGACACCGTGGACTACGCTTCCCAATAAGCCCCGCGACAAGGGAGACTACGCGAAGCGGCGCAAGTAAGAAGATGAGGGAAAGCAGCAGTATGTGCGAAAAGGTTGAGCGGAGGTAGATTAAGAGAGGGAGTCGGAGTTTACGCCTGTTCTTCTGTCTTGAAAAACGGCTGGTGGAAGCTGTATTTTCCAAATAGGACTGCTTAAGTTTAAGTCAAATAGGGAATAAGAGGCAAAGCTATCAGTCTCAAGCCGCTGATATTAGGGAAACGTAAGTTCCGGTCTGTAGAGCGCTATCTTAAAAAAAATCACTTTTAAGATGTGGAAGCTTACAAGTTTCTGGATCATTTGAATATATATGCATCTGGTGATACAGTCATAAATTTGAAAGTGCAGGAGTCCTATAGCCCCGCCTACAAATTATCTAAACGTGTAGACAAATGTGTTGATCGATGTGAGCAAATTAGTTCTCACAAGTTTGCCTTTCCTAAAAGAGATGTCTTTTGTAAAGCAGATTGATTTTAATTTCTCATTCAAAATCAAGCCATTTTCATTACAACAGGAAACAATAGATTGTTGCTGGGAAAATTTAACATCTCCCCATGTGAAGCAACTAGGGTCAGAAAGTTTTGAGGAAGAAGGTCCCTGTCAGCCTTTGTTCCACTAAATTACTGCATGCGACCATGCTATTGTCAGAGCCAGAGGTCAGCTCTTTTTGACAACTTACTCCAGTGCCTCAGGGGAGTCCACCAGCATCAATTTATGAATAACTGCCAGTATGGAATGGCATACCAACACATTTGGTATGCCATTGCTACTATTTCTGCTACTATTCCTAGCAGAAAGGACCCTGAGAGATTTGGGCCCTCTTTGTACCATGATACTGCCTGCAGTGACAGAAATAATCTGCTGGATCAAACCAAAATCATTTATTTGTTCCCACAGAGGCCAACCAAAAGCCTGCAAGTAGGACATGGAACCAACAGTACCCTCTGACTCATATTCCACAGCAACTGATACTGAGAGGCATATGGAATCCAATAGTGAGGGCAGTATGTAACAACATGACCAGCTTTAGCTTACATGAAGATGCAATAGCAATACTTCCTCCCTCTCACCAAAGCAGACAAGTGTAGAGGTGTAATCACCTCTACTTGCTTACCTTTTCTCTGACTAGTACTGGGGATTGCACCCAGAACTATCATATAAAGACAGTGAGGAAATGGTTACTCCTTCAAGTAAAAAAAAAAGGAGTTGGAAGAAGTCTGCCATTACTTACCCTCTTCCTCCCGGGTAAAACAGAGTTGACATCTATTCTTTACAGTCTCTCTCAACTGCCCAGTTATCCTTTCCCTGTGAGAGGTATGGCTGCTAGGATTGGGATCTGCTGCTCCAATTCCCAACTATTGCATCATTCAGTCCAATTGGACAAATGAGCAACAGAAGCAGTTAAAAAGAGCAGAACTCTGCATCTGCTTACTAGTTCTCCCCTTCTGAGTGGCATGGCATTGAGTGCTGGCCCTGCTGCACTTTCCGTTAAGAGGGGTGGTGCCAGCTGATGTTCCTTGTAGCCGGCTGAACTGCTTAGAGCAAAGAAATGAGGAAACAGCAGATGCAACTTGAAGGAGCAGCTCTTGCCATCTATGACCCTCTGGGTGGTACAGCTGGGAATATCAGGCATGCTGCAGGAGCAAGGAAATGGGTGAGGAGTGTGGACATAGCAACCTGCCAACGGCATTTTGCTGTGTAGGGCCCAGGCATCTGAAACCTCCCTTGAGGGCTTCCATATTGTTATAAGGCACCTTTATAAATTAGTCCACTGAAATCTAGGCCCAAAAATGTTTAGACTGCCTGTGCCCATGTGCTTATATTCAGTCATATTCAGTCAACACTGAGAAAGCATAACACATATAAATGTATGCATATACATGTTAATATCTCACATATTAACAAATGTTAGTTCCTTTGTAGCACTGTTGATGCTAAACTCTGGTGTTGAGACTAACAGTACAGTTCTATGCACATATGCTAGAAATTTGTGCTACTCAGTTAAATAGATTTACTTCCAAGTTAATATATGTATTAGCATTCCAGCCTAAGCCACTTTCATTTTGGGGCTTGGTGCATTTTAAATTCTTAGTAGATCATGAGGTCCTATTTATGTACTATTGTATTTCAATGTATTTTATCATGTTGTAAGCCGCCCCGAGGTTTCGGCAAGGGGCGGCATAGAAATGTTATAATAATAAAAGAAAAAAGAAATGCCTAAGCTATTTTGTTTTGTTTTCAGAATTATTGACAGAACACTGAGAAGCAAGGCTGCTTATACTTCTTTTTAAGGCTATGTCTTTTATTTATTATAATTATATTAAGGCTGCTTCCTTCAAGGAACCCAAGGTGGCTTACATAATGCTCCTCCTCCTCTCTATGTTATCCTCACAACAATCCTGTGAGGAAGGTTAGAATGAAGGTCAGTGACTGGCCAAGAGTTATCCAGTGAGTTTTACAGCTCAGTCCCTCTCTAACATTCTAATTAGTAAGCCATACTGGCTCTGAAATAAATATATATAATTATTGAATAAACATTTGGAATTACCAGCTGCTGTACATGGCTCCATTCCTGGACTTACCAAAAGCAACTGGGCTCCATCTGACTTCCACTGTGGAGTGACTCTGGGTTCTCCCCCAAACACCAGAATTTTTGTTTTCAGAGTTAGCAACCACCAATTACAGAAAATATGAAATGTGGACTATTTTACTAGCAACAAGTATATTTTGTCAATATCAATAACACCATCCAGAATCATGGATTTTATGTGAGTTTTTTCATGGCAGAATTATTGTTCATTTTGTACTCGCATTCTAGATGGCAGGTGACAGAACAGCCTAGACACACACTCACTCATTTATTTATTTATTAATTAAAAGCTTTTCTATCCCATCCCCCACAGAATGTCTAGGGATGGCTTACAATAAATAAATAGAATAGAACAGCCCCACAGCATCCAACCATAACATACTAAAACCCCAATTAAAATCAATTAAACATTAAAATAAAAAGGAGTTTACCTGAGGCCGAAAAGAATATAAGGTCGGTGCTAGGCGAACCTTTCTGGGAGCATATTCCATAGTCGGGGCGTCACTGCAGAGAAGGCCCTCCTCCAGGTGCTCTCCCTCCTAATCTCCTTCAAGGAGGACTCCCGGAGTAGGGCCTCCACCTCAGATCTCAAGGTGCAGAAGGCACATAGGGAAGAAGATGCTCCTTCAGGTATCCCAGACCCAAGCCATTTAGGGCTTTATAGATCATAACCAGGGCATAACTCACATGCCTATGAAGGTCCCTTCCTGATGGAGAATAAATTTCAACAGCAGGAGATAAGACATAGAGGGAAGGAAGGAGAAATCATTCTTTTCCAAAAAAATCAGGAATGGCAAGAACAAGAGAACAAGGGATGATTGTACACAAATGCAAGTACTCATACTCTGTTCTTTGTTTTATATGAAACAATTAAGAAACGTTTTAATTACTACAGATATACAAGAATTTCATTCCTGTGCACAAATCATAGGAACATATCCCATTTGCAATGCTGAACACAAGCAGAAAATTTTCCTGCATGTTGAGTTTATACACAAAAGTACACAGTTGTACACTCCTGAAAAAAATATATGTACCCAAGCATATATTTTCACAAGTGTGCACACATGCACATTCCCCATCTGCATTTGCACACTTTAACCAAGGGAGGAAAATGCACTTTTTTTCCAATTACAAAGAAATTATTGCATTTGGGAAGGTGAATAAAGCAAATCAAGTTTTGAGGAGAAATTCAGAGTCTCGGTGAGTGCAAACATCACATGTTAATCATATTTATGACACAGGCACTACACAAAAACTTTATTGAGTGTTTTCTGATTCTCAATATCCTCTTTAAGTATTTCAGGCCCTAGGCAGGGACAACTGCTGCTTCCTCTGAAGAGTGGAATATCTGCCATGCTATCCAGAAGCAGCTGTAAGTGTCTGGTCAGGATTGCTTAAGCTATTCTAGCACGAAATGATCACATGGACCATCTGTGACAAGACAGAGGCATCCCTGGATTAATCTGGGGATGCATCTGCAATGACTGGGAAACTGAAAATTCTGTGATATATAAACAGACATTAAAGACTAATGATTATTTATGGGATGGAATTTCTAAAACTTTATTTAAAACCCCCCATTCTCTGAGACATGCTAAGCTCAGTGATCTTCTCTCCCTGCATTCATCTTTGCAGAGCTGAAACTAAGAGTCTTGCTATTACAGGCCTAAATGCTCAGAACTCTTTACTTGCACTGATAGAGTCCTGATTCACAGACTAAGGGGAAGTTGCAAGGCATATTTTTAAGCTAGTGTATGGTAGTGTAGTGATTTTTAAAATTCTGTACCTTCAGAGAACACTTCCTGTCTTAACCCATAGACAAAGGCGAACATGCACACATATGTTTACGGATTGCTATAAAACAAACAAACGGGGGGCTGACCCAGCAGGTCTGATGTTTTTGATGATTGATGTTTTTTAGTTTGTAGAAAATAATAATAAAAACTTACTTTAAAAATAGTGATACCCAACTAAATAGATAAATAGTGATAACACTTTCAGTTAATGTTCCTGCCATTACTGAGCATCTCCATTACTCATCTTCTCACTGAGGAACTCCTCATCAGCTCAAAGAATCCCAAGCTTCTAGAAATGTAGTTTTAAAACTACTGGGCTAGTATACTGGGTGATTAATATTTCGGTGGCTTTGTTAATTTTATTTTTAATGTATCCATTACCTATTGTGTTCATATTATATGGGCATGTAAAACCTGATCTGGTTGGTTTAGCCCAGCAGGGGTGGAGCCATCAATCAGGAGAGAGCCAGGAGGAGGAGAGTCAGTTTATTCTGCTTGGGAGCTAAATA